TGAACCGGGTATACAGGGAGGGACAGCTGACACCTACATCTACAGGTTAACAGTGCTCACTAACCTGGTCTTTCTCAAGGGTGATAAGCTGGTAACCTGTTGAGCGACTGCAGACCAGCTTTCCACGGCTGTCGAATGAGGCAAGACGTAACCTGGAACAACACAATACAAGTCAAAGCTTGTTAAATGCTTTCAAAGACCAAAGCTGCACATAAACACACATTACCTTTAAACACATAGTTTAACATTTTGGGAGATAATCTTATTCACTTACTCACTGAGCATTATAAGGGAAAGGTGATACACTTTTGTGCTCATAAGGTCCATATGAAGCTACCACCAACAGCTGGCTAACTTAGCTTAGTGTGAAGACTGGAAACAGCTGTGTTTACTGTTCAACCTCTAACTCTCAGCAAGAGAGCAAATAAAAATATTTTTCTAAATGTTAAACTATGCCCTTCAACAAACATCAAGGTCAGTGCTTCATTTTATTTATAACAACCAAATAAGCTTAACTGCACAAATCCAGCTATGGTCTCAAAGACATAACAGTTTCTATTGCAATTCAGCTAAATAAGATTAGACTACTGTAGTAAGTAATTTTTTTTAGAATATGAATTATAGTGATTTTATTAGACTACTACTCATCATTTTAGATTCAGATCAAATCTGTACAGGGCAAAACTCCCAAGGTTCCACAATTCTGTTGCAAAGTATGCACTCTCTACTTTCTACAGTGTCAGTTATTTTCCATTTTTTTACTGTACTACGGTCAGTATAAATATCATCAAATTCTATGCGACTGAATAGTTTTGTTTGAGACTCTTCTTGCAAATGAGTTGCAATTTATTTTTCAGATTATTTCTGTAACTCTTACTGTCTAGTTAAAAAAACAGAGATCATCTTAGTTTCCTTATTTAAAACTGCAGGATACAGACAGCATAATACTCAGGCTCTAGATAAAGCAAATGCTTTAGGCCAGCAGTACTACAGACCTATATGCTAGATGTCTCCGAGGCTGCAGACTGACAGCGCCCCCACATGGCTGACTTAGGGTATTCCTTTTGAAGACTATAAAGCGGTTTGTGTAGGTCACCAACAGGTCAAAACCAAAATTAAAGCCGGTCCACCGCCAGCAGTACTGTGAAAAGGACAATAACACAGTTTTGGTTTTTTTGTAGCATCTTCTATAAATGCTATGAAGCAAACGTTACTGTAATGCAGAGTTTGCATGACTCACATCTCCATCTTTATTCAGTTTCCTGCCACACCTCATACTGCTCAGCTCAAACTCTTCCTTGTCAGTTTCCTGGGGACTAAAGACAGACAGACGCCTTTGTCATCAGAACAGCTTTAAAATAATTTTCACTTCATATTATTTGTGTGGTACAATAAGATGCCACAACATCTAAAATATCCAGAGGAAATTCACCAGTCCTGTGACTCATTACAAACGCTTACCCATTGTCATTGTCAAATTCTGTCCGGAGCATAGCAAACCATTGGTTTTTGTACATCGATGTTAACCACTCTAGAATATAAAATATGGGTAGAAAACATTAGCAGTGCATAAAGACAGGGAAGAGACTGTTCCTACAGATGTAAAAGTTAGACTGATGATGGTAACAACTAAAATGTTAAAATTTAAGCAAGCCTGTCAAATTCTTTATGCAACTGCCAATAAAACAATGAATAAAATATAAAGATGTAAACAGAGTATTGGTCAACAAAAACAGGCTACGTTTTTCTAGAATAATGAGTCAAATAAGGTAAAAGTCAGTAAAAACTAAATGCAAATGAAATGATTCACTCTATTCAAAACCACTTTACCACTTTGAGTTTAGCTAATGAAATCAAGGATTTCATTTCTCCTGACTACAGAAAAAGCACAAGATGAAATTATGTCTGACAGAACAGTATTTTACCAGGAGGCAAAATATTATCTCGCTCCAGTATGCGTGCAGATGCGAGATCGTTGATGATGTACTGGAGACGAACATATTTGAACACTGAACGAAAAGGGGCACCCTCCTCTGTGTTCAAGAAAGGCTCTTTCTCACACAGGTCTGTGGGCCAAAATCAAATGCAACAACAGTCAAATATCAGTGTGGCTACCAATAAAGAATGCTGACATTAAAGGTACTATTTCACAAGATACGGTGTTACTGTACCTGTCCTGCGTTTGCAAAGCCAGGCATCAGAGTCGGCCAGAAGCTGTTTGATGGGGCCATCCCATGACAGATTAAGCTGCACAAACATCCACTGCACAGAGAGTAAATGACAAAGAGAGCTCTTGGAAACAGGTCTGATAGTACATTAAGTGTGTCTGGGAGTATATAACTTTTCCTTGTACCTTTTTCAGAGCGGTGTATACATCCATCTCCACCTGCATGACAAACAGGTCTGAAGACTGAATGAGCTGCTCCATCACCTCTGTTCTATAGAAGAGCAGTGCAGAAACAAATGTAAGTATAATCACAGTAGCCATGTGATTATCCTCATTACAAAACTCGTTGCACTACAACTGAGACAATTTTAGGTTTACAGTGATATAACATTTTATTTACTGGCTACATAAAGAATACAGGCTGATGTATAAACTGAAGAATTATGAGTCAGGCACATATACCCAAGCTCTTTCATCAGGTCAACATTCTGGTGGGTCATCAGGTTGTTCAGAAGCCACTCAAGACACCTACAGAAGGAGATTCACAAACACATACACAGTAGGCTGTAAGTACATAGCATACAAGTCAGAAATGAAGTTCAAATGAATAAACAACATAAATTAAAATCTGACTTTTTAATAACTGAATCCAAGCCATAGATAGTGGCACAAGTATAGTAGCCGCACACGGTCTTCGCACTGATGTTTTCCTTCATGGTCTCACCACACTGCTGGATCAAACCGTCCTGTCAACAAAAATAAACCATGAGACTTTGATTAGGTTTTGTATCATATAACTGTATTCATACAAAATAAAGATAGCAATTCTACACTTGAGACAACAGCTGACTTCGATGCACTGACCAGCTGTAGCATACAAGCAGCGGCAAGTATACTGACGACTCTGCTGGGCTTGATCAGAACATCATCCCGGTACAAGGATCCAAACACAACCTGTAGAGCTACACAAATAAAAAAAATTAAGAACTATAAGTAAAAGAAAGAAGTGACAACACTAACCAAGTCAACAGGTTTTTCCCCTGTAACTGAGGTCCTCTCACCTTCAGTGTCAATGTTCTGGTCTGGAATCTCCAAGTTGATTATTGTCATGTCAGACTCTTTCCAAGAGCCGCTGAACATACTAGAGAAGTACCCTGACTGCAAAATGCACCAAAAGAAAAATAAAGAGTGTTAAATGATAAGGACAGGCCATGTGAAAGAGCACTGTATACCAATCACTGTCTTTGCTGTGTTTTTGTGTCTTTACATTTCACCTGGCACAGGTAAACTTTGTGGAGGTTCCACTCTTCTCCCAGGGCACAGATGCGAATGTCACTATTTTCCCCATTCAGGAACAATGTTTGATAAATATATTTTGATGTGCTTTTCAGTTTTTTCCTGCTCAGGTTTAGAGAAAACACAAAACAAACAAAAAGAGGAGAGGGAGGAGCAAGGGTAAGACAAAATACTGCTGACTGAGAGACACCTAACACCAAACTGATTCTTGGTGCTTTGGCTGGTCTTGCCTGCGGGGTGTATCCAGTATAGCATCATCGTCATCTTGCTCACTGTCACAGTCACAGTGAGCATTTCGTTTCCTCTTCTTACACTCACAGTTGTGTTTGTGACTGGTAAATGTGCCCTCTGAAGCTTCCTCTGATCCCCGAGAGGGGGACTGGAACCTGCTGCCCAGACTTCCCATTGTTATGCTTTCAAAGAGACTTTAATAATCAGAAATAACAGGTCAGTTATACCTATGTTTATGTTGCAACAGAGCTGAATAAATCAGAATGAAAGAAATATCATGATAGCATATACGGTTTGAAAGTTTGGCTTTTGTGTTGCAGCTTTTTTACCACAACAGACGATGGACTTAATCTAATTCCCAAATAATAATCATCTGGCAAGCCTGCAGTTTAGTAATGTAAATCTATCCTATGATTTCAATGAAATACATGGGTATCACATTCCATGTTTTGATAATTAAATTAGGCTTTGGAATTTTGAAAATACAACTAACAATTTCAAAACATAAGCCCATCTCATACACTATATACTATAGGCTACATCGAACTATAAATAATAGTGACGTTAAATTGTTAAGAAAAAAGCAAATGACATTATATCAAATTTAATGGGGTTCTGTTATCTGCTGCCCACCTAGCTATAAAAAAGTCCCCCCCAAACGACGTGGTAAATTACTTACATGTACTTGTACGCACAGTCTGGGGGCATAACAAAACAAAGCCTGGATGAAGTTTTATTAGCGACATTTGCACATAGCAAGAGTCTGACTCAAAGGCTCATCCCTTCAGCAAATGCAAACCAGATGTACAATATAATTAACAACACAAGGACTGAGTTAACCCTTACCTGGTGATCAGCTCCGGCCAGGCTACGGGAAGATGTATCGGGTTAATGTGGACAGTAAACAGGGGCTGATTATCTCAGGTCAGACTGTCTGAGAGACGCTGACGAGCCAGTTGTAGAGGCTCAAAGCTAGCTTAGCTGTCGAATTCAAACACAAAACACGTCTGAAAACAGGAACAGCGTTTCTTCTGACAAAAAAATAATACAATCGTCAGGCCGTAAACCCCTATTAAGTTCCAGTTACATTTTTCTGAATTAAAGCAAACGTAAAACCAGGGATAGAGGATGATGTTTAACCACTACTGTCCTGAAGATCTGTAGCTGCTTTTGTTATTCTTCTTCTCTCGAAGATTAGTGGCAGCATTACAACGTCACTGGCGGCCGCTCCGCTCACCTCCGCCACCTACTGTGAGACAGGCCTATTACACAAGTAAACCGGCACAGAAGTCACTGGCTTGCAACCCCTGTGGCTAGATTACACAAGTAAACCCCACTGGCCTGCATAAATGTTTGTCTAATTACTTCATACAGCACCGATACCTCAGATTTACCATAAGAATTTACAGCATTTATAAATCGCCCGCTTAAAAAACATGAAAGTGGTTGACAACCATACACATTGAAAATAGCTGAACCAAAGAACATTGGCTCTTTGGCTAAACCATGGGCTTGTGTCCCATTTAATTGTCATATACAAATGAAAAAACTGCGTGTTTTGTAAAAGGCTAAATAATCAATTTTTTTGTTTTACTGAACAATGTTATGTACAAACAGCATAGGTATAACAACATTTCTTGTTATGTTAGGGAGTAGATGCGTGTACAAATTATTCAAATGAAAGAAAATAATGCAATAAAAATAAGACATATAATGAAATTATATAAAGCACAATATAACAGGATAAAGTTTAATCTTGTGGGCTTTTGAATAATCAAAAACTCATTGTGAAATACACAAAAATTAAGTATTGTTTTCATATACTTTGACTTGAACATGTACGATTTCCCAAGAATGATAATGTTATTTATAAGAAAGTCTTATTTGGAGTTGTCCGGGAGAAGTCCAAAGAAAAAACAAAACGCGGTGAGCTGTCCGTTGCCGGATATGACGTTACTCGTACTGCTTATAGTGGGCGTGGCACTGGAAGAATTAGCCAATAAACGACGGGCACCTCTTTCACAACATTCCAATATTCCCGGACCATCCTCCTCTTTCTCCACCATTCGCCTATGTCCAGCGTGTGCGTGGGATTGTGACACGTACCTTCTTCGTTTTATTGACCAAGCAGGACACCTCCACTTGGTGCAGGGAAAACACAGGCATCCCCTGTCTTGTGTCAAATTCCGTTTTATTCTGCATATTTCGTAGCATGGAAGCGAGAGACCCAACAGCAGGTAGGTAGGTAGGTAGGTAGGTAGGACTTTATTGATCCCACAATGGGGAAATTCCTGTTCCAGCAGCAATAGAAAGCAGCAACAAAACACCATAAGAACAAACACCACACACATATCTTGAGAAACAAATTCCAAAGTACCTAAAACCAGACAGAATATAGTATTTGAGAGACAATCCAGAACAAGAAGGATCCTCCACAGGTGAGGTTGTTGTTAGTGTCATAGGGTGTGGCGTTGTGTTGCTATTTAACCAATGTAATAACCACTTACCTGCATTCAACCAGGGACTAGCTGTTATATAAGACATATCAGTATTTTGATGTACAAATATGATATAATGTTTTGTGAATCAGGTTGTGATTTTCATGTTTAATGTACAACATATTGCTCTAACTCAAAAAACACTGTAATGTATGGTGTTTCTGGTCCTGTGCAACCTCTAGATGCTTATTTGAGCAGTGGTGGAGAGGAACAAACTACACAGAAGGATGTGGCTCCTAAAAAAGATAAACCACAGATCAAAAGCAAGATGGAGCAGATCTTTGGGTTCAAGAAGGAGGATCTGACGTCCTGGTATAGCCTGGTGTCCCTCCTGAACCGTCCCACTGACTCAGCATCTCTGGGCATCTTCCGCTGCTTGTTTGGTAAGTTAAGCTGGCAGTCATTTTCTCAGTCTACTCACTGGGTCTGACTGACTTTGCAGTGTCTGTAAATAGTGCCCTTCTTTGTCATGTGTCTCTCATGCAGGTTTGCTCATGGCTATCGACATCACACAGGAACGCGGCCTCAGTCACTTGGACTACAAGTACCTGGACGGAGCCCCTGTGTGCCGCTTTCCCCTCTTCAGTTTCTTACAGCCATTGCCACTGGACTGGATGTACCTGGTGTATGTGGTGATGTTCCTCGGTGGGTCACACCTCAGTGTTTACAAAAGCTTGGTGAAGACAGAGGCCCCAACCTCTTCATGCAGTCATTTTATAAGAGAGTCTCTGTGGAATGACTGCATATGGTATACATGAAAGCACATATACCAGCCTGGCAATTTCCTTCTATTCTTCCCCCAAGCCAACTAACCTTTACAAGATTTTATGGGCCATACAAAGATTTTGACAACTAATGTGGCTGTCACTAAATCAGACCATGTTCTTTACTAAGTGGACACACTAGCTTGGGTACAAATTCTTATTCTGAACACTTCAGGTCAATATTCCTCTACCTAAAAAAATGTTCACGTGGTAGCATGTTAGTGGCCTCACCTTGATTTCGCAGCAGGGAGGGATAGAAAATAAAAAAATCCTTACATTTTTTGGGTGGCTTCTTCACATTGCTCATTATTGTTATAGTCTAAAAACATGAGAAAAGGTGATTGTCTGATCATCTATAATGTAAGCTGCAGAAAACGTCACATTACTGTTTCACCAAATGATTAGACTCCCCAAGACTAGTTAACAGATATTCCCTGTAAAAATCAAAGTTAATAGGTAGGTGTGTAATGATATAACTAGTTGACAATTTGGTTCGATACACAATACTAGGCTTGCAGTTTAATAAACTTACAATAACAGTGAGGATGAAAACTAGTGTCACAGTTATTTACAGTATTTCACTGGTATGTAAAATCACAAAAACCGTTTTCAAACACTGTTTCTGAGTGTAGCTAATGTAATGTTTGGCTAATGGAAACAGATCTGGCCTATTATCCCCTCTTGTTAACATAAATAAATTACATGGGAGCCTTGACTTGCTATTGCGCTCCATCTTTCAGTTTCACGATGCATATTGTCACGTTTTAGATTCACGTTATAATGTTCTATGATGCATTGTTACACCCCTAATAGTTAGTATTACTGTCATAACCTTTGTTGTGTGTTTATATTTCAAATTAAAGGTGCGTTGGGCATCATGCTTGGCTGTTTCTACCGTCTCTCCTGCCTTATGTTCATCTCAACATACTGGTACATCTTTTTTCTGGACAAAACGGCCTGGAACAATCACTCGTACCTTTATGGCCTCATTGGATTTCAGTTAACACTCATGGATGGCAACAGATACTGGTGAGATGATGTTTGTCATTCTGTGCATTTCTGTCCTGTCTATGTGTGTGAGCCCAACAGAGGAAGACATTTTAGCCTGTGTGTGTTTGTAGGTCAATCGATGGGTTGCGGAGACCTTCGATAAGAAACGCTCATGTGCCTCTGTGGAATTACACTGTGTTGAGGGCGCAGGTTTATGCAGCCGTCAGACATATTACACAATTTAGGAATTATTAATAAACATGCTGTGGATGCAGATAATCTAAAAGCATCTGTTGATGTTTGTTTGCCAAAGATATTTATTGTATATTTCATCGCTGGAATCAAAAAGTTGGATGCCGACTGGGTGGAGGGCTATTCAATGTCATACTTGGCACACCACTGGCTTTTTGATCCTTTCAAGTAAGTATTTTTTAAAACAGGTCAAAGTTAACTCAACTTTAATTGCCGACTCTTGTATCTCAGTACGCCCACTCTGAACTTACTGTACTGCACATTCTTTTTCAGAGTGATTCTTCCTGTGGAGTTGGTTAGTTTGCTGGTGGTGCATGGAGGCGGCCTTGTTCTGGATCTGACAGCTGGCTACCTGCTGTTTTTTGACGCAACACGACCTTATGCATTTTTCTTTGTCTCCTACTTCCACTGTATGAACTCTCAGCTCTTCAGCATTGGTAAGTCTTTCACCTCGCTTTGTTAAAAGCAGCTTTCTTGTTGCCGTTGATTCTGCGTTCTTTCACGGGAAGCCGTCTCATTGGTGTTTTCATCCACCACAGGGATGTTCCCCTACACAATGTTGGCCACCAGTCCCCTCTTCTGCTACCCTGACTGGCCAAGAAGATTCTTTGTACGTTTCCCAGCGGTCCTTAGGGTAGCCCTGCCACTTACCTCACCGGACGCTCAGCCCAGCACCTCCTGTGTTTATAATGAGATCCAGGCCACCGGCACTGAATGCCAGGAGACTTTGAAGGTTTCCAGATCCTCGAAACTGAGACTGAGGCACAAGCTGGGAGCCATTTTTGCCATTCTCTACATAATTGAACAGTTCCTCCTGCCTTACTCACACTTCATCACACAGGTATTTCTTCTTCAATTTTTTTAAATTTTTTTTATTTACCTGAAACAGCTTGTATAGCTAAATTTGCTTCAAAAAACAAGTTGTAAACTGTTGCATAAATGCCTGTGTGTACTTTTCTACACAGAGAGCTTCTGTTTCAGCAATTGTACTTTAACTTCGGCAAACGTTAAATGCTCTCTTAGGCACCAGGCTGATAGTTGCTCAATCAGAGTCAACAGTCAGGTTCACAGCAAACACCAGATGCAGCAGACAGATATTAATCATCCAGTCCTATTGGTTTATTCAGAATTTACAGTAGGAAAAGTGTTAACTGTTTATCAGTGGGATTTTTTTAGCAAGGAATATTTTGTTTTTGTCCAGGGTTACAACAACTGGACCAACGGCTTGTACGGCTACTCATGGGACATGATGGTTCATTCCCGCAGCCATCAGCATGTTAAGATCACCTACAAAGATGGGAAAACTGGTGAAATCGGATATCTGAACCCAGGGGTGAGTTATAAAGAAAACACTGTCAAACAGAGTATGTGAGCCTCCCAGGAGCTCCGTTTATTCATCTTGCTTTAATGATAAATATCAGTGCAGCATATACAGTATGCATCGTGATGTGTGTGTGAAAGAGTAACATTCCAAATACTGTAAAGTGGACACATCATGTCATGAAAACTAGCAAAATGTGTATATATCACATGTTGAATAAAAGCTGTTACTTTTAAATAACAGTGAGAACAAAAAACAAACCTTTTAAATGATTTTGAAGTTATTGATGCTATCAAGATTCTTGACTGTTGAGAGTTTCTCTTAATTTTAGCTTAGCCAAATTACTAACTAAGTAGTATCTGGGTACTGTAGGTGTTCACACAAAGCCGTCGCTGGAAGGACCACGGAGACATGCTGAAGCAGTACGCCACATGCCTCGGCCAATTCCTGCCTCGCTATAATATCTCTGAGCCTGAAATTTACTTTGACATTTGGGTGTCCATTAATGAACGCTTCCAGCAAAGGTATGTGAGTTGCACTTACTTATAAAAAAATACCATACTATACTAAAAAAGTAACTCTACGACGGAGTTTTAAATTTGTCCTGGATTCTTCTCTAAGGCTCTTTGATCCTCGTGTGGACATTGTGAAAGCTGATTGGTCCCCTTTCAGACCCAACGCATGGCTGATGCCTCTGTTAGTAGACTTGTCACCTTGGAGGACCAAGTTCCAGGAGATTGAGGGCACTTTGGACAATCAGACTGAGATTGTCTTTATCGCTGATTTCCCAGGTCAAAAATGTCTTATCCTTACTTTAAATGGAAAGGAATAGTCTGTTGTTTTGTTAACCCTCACACAGGCTGCTGCTGTACTAACCGTTGTGTCTTTACAGGGCTCTATTTAGAAAACTTTGTGAGTGAAGATCTGGGCAACACCAGCATCCATGTGTTGCAGGGCAAGCTGAATGTTGAGATAGTGGAGGAGAAAAAGAACTACACTCTGCAGCCTGGTGAGCAGATGCAGGTACAGCTACATGCCATCATCAATCTAAACAGTATACTGTTTAACCTCGGACAACCTTTACATTAATGTGAATGTGTATGCGTGTAGGTACCTGCTGGGGCTTATCATAAGGTGTACACAGTGTCTGAAGACCCTTCTAGCTACATGTACATCTATGTAAACACCACAGATGTGGCACTACAGGAGAACTTCACCAAGCTGTTTGAGCTCCAGGAGCGTGTTCGCAATGGGACAGGTGAAAATATGTTCATGTTGGGCAGACAACATCATGAGGAGTAGGTTCTCATGAAAATATGGTAAAAATGAGTGGATAAGTTGGCCTTTCTTTAGTCACATATTTCAGTGAAAATATTTTTAGAATAAAATAACATCACATTCCACTCTCAGCCACTCTCTCCTTTTCTGTCCCAATGCAAAGTTTTGCTCAAGAACTCAGAATATGTCACGAGATGCTCATTAGACTGTCCCATCCCACAGAAACTGAGCCTCTTCCTCCTGAGCTGCAGCCTCTTATTGCTACAGATGATGATGCAGTCAACGCCACCGATCCAGTTGTGCAGCTGTTCCTGAAGCGGCAGCGCCGCATGAAGGAGGTGAAGAAACGCAGGGAGGCTGGCATGCTGGAGCGGCTGGAACGCTTTGCTGTGAAAAAGTACTACTCAGTACGAAGGGGGTGAGTGTTTGAAAACACCCATCCACTAATTCATCTGTGAATACATTATATATCATTTGTATCGCTTGTTTTTCAGATTCCTAATGACTCTGATTGCTCTGAGGAATCTGGCAGTGGGTCCTCCTCCGCTGGAACAGCTGACAAGAGAAGTTGCCTTTGCCAACGTGAAAGAACCTCCAGCAGAAGCCAACCAGGACGAACGGCTGAAAGATGAAGTTGGTCACGGAGAACTTTAAAGCTACCACTGGGACCAAAGCTACAGTTGACTTACCTGCAGGTGCTTGATCACACAACCTTTGCAGATGTGTGTTACTACTACTACTACTACTGGACTGTTACTATTCTGGAGCAAAGATGCCCAGAAGTCAAAAGATTTTACATTTTTTATGCTTCTGAAGTATTTGGTATTTCAGAGTATTTCCAGCATTTCATTATCACAATTATTTATGAATCAAATACCTGCTGAGGACACATTTCTGTTATAACTGCAGCAAAACTACAATACTGTACAGATATGCTTTGTTGTGCAAGGTTGCATTTCCTGTTTAAGAATACTAATTTAGGAATTTTATGGTATCATAATAGGTGGATGACATGACCAAAAAGAAATATCAAGACACTGAAAATGTTTTAAAAATGTGCTCTGTTACAGCTTCGAGTCTGCATTATATGATCTGCCCCTGTTTTAATTATGCTGCGTTATTAATGCTGCATTGTTTTTAAATGGAAATGTAGAACAAGGACAGATTTATTGAGCATGAACGGGATCTGCTTGGTTAATGACTTCTAATACATTTTAATGCTCAGCTATAATTTCACAAATTCAGGCCAAATAATTTACAATAGATTTACAAATATACAGTACAAATGTGGGTTTACTCAGTTTTCAGTTTACAGCATACATCTCTGAGTTTATGCTTATGCTAACCCTATAATATGATAAAATGAAAACTAATTTCATCAGTGGTTTTCTAGTTTTCTAATAAAGAGCATCAACTTGATAAAAAAAACCCAGTAATTTCATTTTGACAAATGACTGGAAATAATGGATTTTATTGGTGTCAGTATTTTCTGTACCACTCATCTTAAAGTGCTACAGCAGAACTCCAGTGTTTACTCTAGTCATCATTATGGCACATTAATCACACCTTTCACATAAGCACTACTGTTACACAGTATAAATACATATAAATCTACAAGATGGATTTCTAGGAAATGCCTTTGTTAAAACATAAAATCATAATTAGTTAATTCTTTAATCATTTAACATGTAGTAATCACTATGTTGCAGTGGGGGTCCATGACATGACATGACAGTGTTTCACTACAAGTTATTTAGTGTTCAGAACAGGGGAAGGGTTGTAGTTTTACACACAATCATTTACAGGGAAGGACATAAACAGTATTTGTATTTCAGTTAATATTGCACATTACGTTACTCGTTTTAAGTTCTAAACCTCCAGGCCTTGTTTTACTAATGTCTGTAAAACTAAACACTTTTCATCCCTTTCTATCATGTTGTACGTAGTGTGTGATGGCAATAGCAATTCAAACGGTTCCAATAGACTGTTGTCACCCTCATGTCATAGGTGGCAAGTGCTGCAGAGGGAGGACAAAATGCAAGTGAAGTAACAAGAAAGCATAAATTAGAAATGGACAAGTCCCCTTAATCCTCTCAATTATTCTACAAACATCCATTTTCTTTTTCATTTCCACTTCTTTCCTCACTCGAAGGTTGTGCTGCATATTTCCGTCTGTCGTCATTAGATTTCAAAGCGGCTTCATGTCCAAAATCTCAAGCTCATCACCTGACCAAATTGAGCTGCTCTCCTAGTAGCCTCACAGAGCACACTAACACTACAGCGGTCTGTCACACTCATCTCATGGTTAACGAAAGACACCTGTATTACTGCTCAAACCACTTCCACCCTGTCATGTGGCACACAGCTGTCAACTCCACCAGCATGTACAAACACCCTCTTCAAAAATTCACCCACGTTGTCTGGCTGCACTTCCCCAGGCGGCACCCTTTGGCACTCAAATTTTAAAACAACATCACTGGTGTTAGAAGCGGGGTGGCACCTCCCTGTATGCATACTCCAGCGCTGGGCTCGCTCCTCTGGCGATAAGAATACTTCAAGTCTCCCCTGCTCTGATTAGCTTCTTTCTATTTCCAGTGGAGTCTGGATGCTCATTGCATGCTTAAGAAAGTAAACATATTTTATTACACTTCTATTTCTTAATTACCTTGGCTATAATGTCTCAAAGCTAACTTGTCTGTTTCATATACAATGTAATTTATTTTCTTATGAGGGTAAATTTATTGGATTACAGCTGATGGTAATTTGATGCTTCAAAATGTAGTGCCAGTGAAATATTAGACATCCCCTTCTGTAAAAAAATAAGGATTTTTGTTATATGCTCTAGGAAATATTAATGAGGCGCAGTGTATCCTCACGTTACGTCCTTGCTGATGCACACCTAAAATGGTGTGAAAATATGAAGCATTTGTTCATAGTGATGCTCCCGCAGCTCTACCTCAGCTGAAGATCTGGGCAGAAAACTCCTTGTATCACGCCTTCAATCACAACATTAGAAAACGTATCTGGAAGTAAAGAAGAAAAAGGAAGCTTTTAAAATCAAGAAGTAAGAAGAATAGCAAGTACAATAGCTTGAAACTGTTGGCGGAGTAGTTTTACAGTTGACTTGCCATAAATAATAAAGTCAATAATGCTGTTAGAATGATAATGATTTTAAAAATGTGCCACATTATGACACGATGTCTGAACTCACTGGGTGCAGAGGGCAGCAGGTAGGGGTCTCTCAGAAACAGCAGGACTGGCTGATGTGAAAGTTTACTGAAAAGAATCCAAAAAAAAAAAGTAGAGGTCAGAGCAAATATAGTGGCTGACGTTTTCACTGGTGAAAGTAAAAGAAGAACTTGACTGTCTGTTTCAAACATTTGTTCTTTTCATAAATACTCACTGAAATAGGAAACTAACTCACCTTGATTCCTCAGATTCTGTATCAAATGACCTTAAAGAAGAAAAATAAAGGTTAAGCCACACAACCTTCCAGTAGCCTGGGCACAAACAGATCAAAAGAAAATGGGACGAATTTGATAGAAAACACACAGTTTATACTCACCCACAGCTTTCTGTTTTTGGCACTGAAGGAAAATGGCGGATATTCAGGAAATCCAGAAATATCTTTGGTAGAACCTCATTTTCCATAATTATAGTCTGAGAAAACAGAGAAAACAAAAGCAAATTGCAACGTGTCCACAAAGCAGCAGCACAGAACTGAAGTGAACTCGGTGACTTTCTGTTTGTCTTTCTGAATTTAACTGTTCTACATTTGTACTGTAGTTTAAATGTTTACTCTGCATTCAAGAAAACCTGTATTTGGTATAAACAGGACTGTGACTGCACAATATTGGCTGTATACTGTATACACACAAAAAAGGTTTTAGGTCTTTGTGTGAGCTACATAGTCCCAGCAGGTGGAGTGAAGGTGTGTCAGGGCACCTGCAGATACAGCTCCAGACCCTGCCTCCTCTGCTCCAGGACTTTGGGAACCCAGTTTCTAACATGTTTTGAAGGGATCTCAGGAGGCTTTATGCTCTTCTTTAGCTGGAGGGATTTGGAAACATTGTTTAAAAAACATACATGGTACAACCAAGAGGGGGAAACACTAGAAGAAGGCTAAAGACAAAAACATATACAGGTTTAAGACTTGAACACTAAGTTGAACTCATGAGAACGGAGGACTCTGTTAATATTTGACTGTCAATAAATGATCATAAACTGTGTCAGTGCACGAAATCTCACCATTTTATGCAAAGCATGGAACTCCCTGTAGCGTTTCTCTACAGTGTGCTGTCTGCCATTCCACAACACGTCAATTTTAAAGACCTGAAAAAAAAAAAGTTAGTTATCATCACCAGCCAAAATGGTCCCCTCCCAGTACGTCAGTGTGTGATAGACAGAGCAGCGGACTGTGGAGCTGTCAGTTAATGTTGATGTCAGCTAGTTACCAAGAGGAAACATCTGGCTGCTGTAGCAGGAAATAAGATCTGTCAAAGTGACTATTAACATTCCTGCCCAGACTTCTGTCTTACACTTCCCTCACTCTGCAGGAATCCTCTGTAAACGTGGCAGATTTACTACATACATGTCGCTGTTCTCGCCAGCATTATGCAAAGGAGGAAATCCACTTTTAAATGACGGCAGTGGTGTTAATGCAACTCTGGAATGGTGACATAAACACTATTACATCTCCCATGACAGAAAGCAAACAACAACTGTCACAGTTTTTGCCTTTTGTAATGAAACCCCAATGGTTGTTCGTCTCTGACTTCGAAGTACAGTATGTGGACACCCAAATATTGCACCCATATGTGACTGTTGAACATCCCCCTGTAAAACCACAGGCGTTAAAAGGCGTCTTTTCTTTTGGGAAGCCACACAACTTTGGCTGTAGGGATCGGCTCCCATTCATTTTGTGCACTGGGGTTATTTTCATGTTAAACATTCAACAAGAATGTTTTTCCCCCAGAACTGCTACCACAAAATTTGAAGCACGCTATTGTCTAAAACACTGGTTCCCAACTGTTATATATTTTTAGTCAGATAGATATTGGATAGATACTTTATGTATTAGAAATGTTTAGTGGAGATAGGATGTCTAGTTAGACTGTTAAATGCTTAGGCATGTTTATGAGTTTCTACAGGGTACATCTGGTCAAGGATAACTAGAGAGAAGAGTTGATGACTGTCAGCAGACAGGGTGTTTAATGTTATTATAGAGGTCGTGTGAGAATGTTTTTAGCTACACACCACTTAATCAACAGACACACACACATTGATTTGCTTCATGTTATGACTACTGCTATGACCAGCTGCAAAGCTGGTAACCGAGACGTCTCGGTTGACGTTTCTGTGTAGTATGGGGCTAGTCCAACCGAGGGGATATAATGTATAGGCCTGGTGGGTTCAGGGTCTTTCATCTTACATCTGCCTGTGAGCAGGTTGGAGGTGCAAGATACCTGAGCGTGTAATGTTAATTTTACCTGTGATCCTTTGAATAAATCAGCACTGTTTTGAAGTTACTTGGACTGTCTCGTCTCTCAGAGTTAGCATGGTAGCAAGGACTGGGTCCTACACAACCCAGGGATTCTCTGTAATGTGTTGCTTTTTTAATATACTGAATAGTTTCATCTCTAAATCCCACACACCAGGCTGGTGTCACCCAAGATAGTGACCTGATCATTAGGAGCAGATTTTGACAATGATATGACTAAACCACATTAAATACAACTCTTTTGTCAATGTCATTATTCAGTGTTTCCACTATCAGTCACATTAATTTGGTCACAGCGGGCTGTCAAACCAATTTTTAGGCATGCAGAGTTTGAAGGAATAGTTTGGGGCATAAAGGAAGACATTCCAGAAAATACATTTGTTAACTTTCTTGCCAAGACTTACAGTAGATGAGAAAATTAATACTATTAACAGTTAATATTATTTTGTCCACTCCATTTATACTGCATCACTGAGGCTAGGGTGAATAAGAGGAAGCCCCCTCACGAGCACATACAGCCTCCAAGATGATCATACAGTTGAATCTGACTGCTGAGACTGCATTCATTCTAGCTTGGTGTGACTAGTGTCCTAACACTTAGGATTAGTTCCCATTTTTGTCTTAGAACAATCATTAGGTGCCCATATGAATCCTGAAACAGGTTTTACTTGCTGGGATCTTTCCTCCTCATCACACTGAACATTAAATGATAGCTTCCTAGTGATAACAAATGTCAGTTCATGAAAAAACTAAACCTCTACTTCAAGATGAATTGACTGACTAAATAAAACTATATTTAAACCACTCTTTACAGTGAATTATGTCAGGGTTTTAAGGTTAATATATCCGGTGGCTCTCTGATTAAATCCAAATTCAGAAGTCAGTCTAAACGCGCCGTTAAACTGAGAAATGGTTTCTCTGACATGTCCTGTGTTCACACATGTGCCATTAGGTTCTTTGATTACTTCATCTGAACAGTGAAATGTGTAAAAACAAGGTGAATTCAGGCTGATTTGAGGCATGTTCGGTCGTAAACCAAACAAACAACAACTTTACATCCACATTGCGCGACTGGATCCGCACTGTTAAACAAACATAAGCTTATTATTTCAAGGGAGCAGAAAATAAGACCCGAGGTCATATAAAAATCCGCTGGCAGACGCCAGAGAACAGGCACACAGAGGTTATTAGAGAGCAGCTTACCGTGTATCCTTTCTCGATTGAGTTGGTTTCTGAACGAAACGACGGAATGGACACTCGCACCGGATGCATTTCGACCTGAAAAACGTACACTTGTGTGGGTAATATTTAAACCTATGGCATAAATACGCATACATATACGCACGCACAATAGCAGTACTCCAGTTTCTCTGGCAGCCTGATAAAAATCACAGAATTCAAACAGACGGAGCCTCGGCAGTGCGCCCTGGTGGAGCGGAGGCAGCAGCGATGCGCAAGGAAGTGGGTTAATGCCTTTCTTTTGTAATGGAAGATGTTCCCCAGATGTTGAGAGGTGAAATGTTCCATTTCCACATATTGTTTATATTGTGAAGAAGGACCTTCTCACATGTTCAACTTCATGGAGATAATTCAGAAATCATTTTTATCTTAATTACTGATTTAGGAATGTTTGACTTTAACAGGCTATTTATAATTTCCTAAATTAGTTTGATATGACTGAGTGTAACTTCCAAGAAATGTTGAAACCATTAAATGATTAGAGGATTGACATAAAATTGGTACTAACTTCCCCATTTAGCGTGAACAAGCTCATATACAGTCCATTAAAACAATATCCTGTAGTTACAAGTGTTTATTGATGTACCAGTGTTTGTCAGAGGTCATTATAGTTCTATAAAGGCTTTAAATTAAAATAGTTGTTAAGGTCACTCATTATCTGTTTATACACTAACATTCAGCTATAGGTGCCAACCAGTAAATATATTAAGTAAAGGGACATTTCACCAATTCAAGGCATCATAATCAGTTAACTAATGGTATTTTCCAGGCTGTGAAAACAGTGTTATAATGTCTTCTCTGGCTCTGGAGGAAATTTGTCAAGCCAGAAAGTAACAGTGATTGTGTCACAATGATGCCATCATCACTTGAGGTTGCAGACAAATTTAGTGTTACAAGCTGGAAGTGTGAAAGCCAGGGTCTAATAAAAGATGCCCACGGTTACAGACATTTCTTTTATATCACTGAGAGTTGAATGTCTGCGGGTTTTGGACTGCTGGTCGGACAAAACAAGCAACATGAAGATGTCATCTTGCGCTTCAGGAACTTGTGATGGGCATTTGTATCTATTTTCTTAACAAACATTAGGTCCTTGTGCTTCCCTTTTTGCCTGGTGCGCACGTGTGTGTCTGCATTTGTAATTCAGTGTGTTTGGTAAAGACGATAAGACAGGGAGAGTGAATCCAAAAGTGATACAACGTCACAAAGTTTTATTCAAGTTTCATCAAAAGCTTTGGAGTCAAGAGAGTTTCTTCCTTACCAAATACATTTAGTTTTAAACATCTAGTTCATTTTAAACGTGATATACATTGATATTGGCTTATCAATAAGCACAAACTTGTTTATATCTGTACTTAGCTACTTTAGACTTCTAAATTTAATAGATTTTATTCTTTAACTATCTTACAAGTGGTATGAAATGCAAGAATGTGGTACAATGCAATACAAGCAAGAAAAAGAAAAGTGGGGACAAGAAAATACTGTTCAGAAAGGAGCAAAGAAGAATTCAAGATTACCTGGCATTACAAGTCCGATGAGTCCTACTTAGTTCCCTCAATTAAGAGTGTTCTAAATCATAAAACAAATCTGTCTTACAAATCTCATTTAATGTTGTTTTATATCCTTTCGTCTGCAGTCCTCTTCACTGTCATTTACAGATTTACAGAACATCTCCACTGAGTTGCTGTGAATGACTGTTGTTTCTTAATATCTGAAAAGAAAGAGCACAAAGTGATTAATAGAGGACATTTTAAACATTAAAGCAGTATTTGTCATGAGACATGACACTTACGCTGACATATGACAACCTGACAGGTAGGCGTAGTTGCCAGTGTAGCGAACATCACAGCGCACAATGTTGTTGCTGTAGTCTGATTCTTCGACCTGATAGTATGGATTTACACTGACCTGTGGAGAACGACACAACATGCATAAAAGTATAAGAGTCAACAGCAAGGCAGCAAAGATAATGGAATGTTTATGAGTGCAAAGTGATTCCACAGTGTAACTTTTTTAAAAATGTCATCTGGTGTTTGTAACAAACCTTGAGGATATAGTTTCCAGGTTGCACATCTGTGATGTCAATCCACTGGCAGTCAATGTCTGCATTGTAGGTATCATAACAGCCTGGGCTCAGGCCCTGCACACAGGACGGCAACAATATCAACATGATATAAACAAACACACCTCTTATGAAACAATATACAGCTATTTTATATAGAGAGCAGTAACTCTGACACAGTTTTTAATGTTATTATAGTCTAATATACACTAACAACCATATGATCAAAAGAACAATAATTACATTTGTATTTTTGGCTACATCTTAGAAGCATTTTTGGATTCAATGGCAGAAAAAAAAAATCATCCAGTCAAAATAAAAAAAGAATTGGTAGGAAAAATAAATTATATGCAACACAACTGATTGCAGACGGTCAGGCAGACAGTCAGGAGAAACAGGAAATCATTAAATCACCATCTCTAAGACAGCTGCCTCAGTGAAAGAAAACTTGTTTATCTTAATCCCGCTTTACAGATGTATTTCTTAAAGTGAACTGGCTTTTACTTTGCAACAACTGAGATTCAAATGGACCTTTTAAAGAGGATATTTATCACAATAAGAAAATAATAAGATTAATGCTGGATGAATTGCATTTGTCTGTGCTGGTTTCAGGGTCCTGGAAAACACCGGCTCAGTGTCACGGTGTCACGGTGTCACCCTGTCGTGTCTTAGTGGGACACTTGAATAGAAAGGAGTCATCATTATTGTTACTGGTAACACTTTTGTGTCGGTGTAGTGGCCATAGATTAGCTGCTAGCTGGCTGTAATAGAAATACTTTGACATTACTGGTGCCGTAGCTAACAGGAGCTAACTGGCTACATTTAGTAGCAGTTGTTACTAATTTATGACTATTTTGGAAATAAATTGTAAACACCTCGCTGGCATAACTTTATAAAAGTGAGATGGCAAACTTGTTAGCAGATACGCAGCAAAATTCTGATTAATTAGGAATCCGGCTTTTGGCCACCTAAGAAATGTACTCCAGTATGCTAGTTCTGATTTATTGGACCAGCACTAGTTTTGAGCCAACTGCTGCAGATGAGAGCAGCAAGTGTGAAAGCTGCAGGCCATAAAATCAAAACCATAAGCTGAAAGAAGCTAGAATGCTCCATAGCACTGAAGAGCTACAGAGTTGGGTGGTAATTCTCTGCGGGTTTGTCACTATGAGTGACCCGTTTCTCATACAAATTGTCAAGTTATCCATTGCTGATATAAAATATCAACAAAAGCCCCTTCAGTGTCAGTCATAACATTTTGCAGTTAGGTTTTCAGCAGGTATGTTTTAGACCTGGGTATGTGCGGTGCAGGCATACCGCCTGTAGTATCCATAGTCACAGGAAGTGTCCTCCAAGCAGAAGCTGGCCTTGTGTCCCTCGGCCACCGACCGCTGAGTTTGGGCATCCAGCAGGTCGTAGTGGCTGAACTCATCCATGCTGTGGTAGTGCCTGTGGATCAGCAGCACGGTGTTCAACAAACCCAGACATTTTTGCTGTACACTGAGCAAGCTCCACATCAATGAGGGACAAGCAGGTACTGTTTGTTACAATGAGGCCCACCAGGGATCACTTTGTCCTTTAGCTGCATTTATATATTACAAAATGCTGTATATCTTACTAATCCCTTATGTGCTGAATGTTGTTTCACTTTATTATCCAAAAGACAGAGTTTGATTAATGAGACATAAACAGTCTGGTTTTTAACAATTCAGTTCATTGGTTGTCTTTCAAAATATTGACAATAAATCTATACAGTACATCTCAACAGTTTATTGCACTGCTGCCAAATGTGCTCCATCTTGGGGATTAGCGCAGTCGACTGTTTCACAACATAACTATGGACTGAGGTAGTTTCTGTGGGCTCAAGGAAAAACTAGGCACTTTCCCATAAGCTCAATAAAGAGAGAATATATCAGCGGTTTTCCCTTTTTGGCTCATTATTTTCATCACATAACTTCATTTTACAGCATCTGGTTGGCAGATAGAAACGATCTGAATTCCAAGGTCGTGTGAAATTCAGTCTCTTTCTTTTTGTGAAAGCCCAAAGTGGGTTTATGTGGATGTTTAGTCTGAGATTGTAAAAATAGAAAATGACATTATTAAACATCTAAAGATGCAAACAAAATTTGTCTTAAGATGTCAGGTCTGATAGCAAACTCTCTACAATCAATAAACCAGCCAAAAGTAACACAGCTGTTGCTCAACAGGGGGTGCCAAACCACAGACTAAAGACAAATGATGATGAATCATCTGTTGAAAACAACTGGTTGCTTTGTAATTTACAAAACTAATGAACAAACAAATACAAAAAAGCATCTATCTCCAGTTCTTACTCTTAATAAATATGTGAATTAATGCAGCACTTAAATGTTCAGTTTGATTTTTGGCTCTGGTATTACTATTTTATTTCTTACACTCTCTGCTGTATTTTACAACTGATCTATATACCTCAAGTGACCATCATTGAAGGTTTGTACATTTTTGAAGGTGTCGGTGTCATTCTCTTGTATTTTGGGTTTGTGGCAGCTATCCGTTGTTAAACTGAAGTCAGAGTTATAGCGGAGCTTGTGCTGAAAATGAATACCATGTGTGTGGCATAAGGGCAGTTTATAAGGTGTTAAACAAAGACAAAAAAATGTACAAAAGGTTGGGGGTTGGCCAGTGAGAACAAACTGAAGCAAGAATGACATGTCACTGAGGCACTTTCTCTGTGTGATGGTGAGGTGGAAAGCACTGACATGGCATTATACTCACTGATGACAGCTGTGCCACTCCCAGGCGTAGCGTGGCCTGTTGGGGAGGAAGTCAGCCGTCCCCTGGTTCTTGACTCTCTGAGGGAACCTCAGCAGCATACGAGAGTCGTAATCTCTGGCTGAGTGGGCTGAGCTGCAGGCAAAAAGCAAAGACAGAGGATGCAGTGTGTGCAGTAAAACAAAAAGCAAAGGTCACATATGGGCACAATGACATCACCGAGCTTGTTTTCCCTACTGTGTCCCCTCCTCTGAGTGTAGCTTTATAAATGGTGGGTGGAAAAACAGTTTGTGGGAGTTCGTTTTTGATACTGTGCTTACCATCTGGGCTTTCTCTTCTCAGACAAACTATGATTAAACCTTGTACAGACATCCACCACTCCTCCTCCAGCTGTGGCAGGATTTGGTTAATTTTACCTCATCTCATGCTTCCACTGGGCAACTCTCACCCACAAGCACTTTAGATGGTTGTTACGGCCCAAAGCTCTAGGAATCACACTCAGGCTTGGCTACAAAGTCAGTTTTTTTCCTCCCTCTGGATGAGTCTTTACCTTGACAGACAATTTTCCTCAGCTGCACATCTCAGGTTGTACATCGGGACTCTCTGTGCATAAGCAGAGGCTTGAATGTAATATGGGTCAGGTACAAGATCAGGAAGACCTGCAACAACAAAACAACAACAAACAAGAGCAAACACAGAAAGTGATGCTGCTTTAACAGATGGAATTCACCCGCAGAAACCTGAAGACAAGCAGAGACAAGACAGACACTAACTGACGTTACTTCAGCTTCATAAACACCACTTAAAGAGCAACATCTAGCTCATTAACGACTTGAATGCTGGTTTGAGAACATTTTCCTCACTCTTACCGTACTGATGATAACTTGTGCCATATCCGGGTCTGGCTCTAGGCCTTGGTCTCTCGTAAACGTCATAATAATTGTAATACGGATTCTCATTATCAATGGACTTGTACGGGTCGTAGGGATCGTCGCCAACCATCATGTCTTCTCTCCTGGGCAAAGGCGGACTGCCAGTGGCCCTTTCCTGGGTGTCGTTGGCCCTGTTGCTCCTCTGCGTCCCCGTGCGCTCACCGGGCCGGTCATGGAGATGCTGGCGGTGCTCGCGCCCTCTCAAGAGCCTTTGAAGCGGAAGCGGGTGGCCGCGGGGGCTGTGCAGGTTAGAAGCTGCTCGGGGAGGCTGCTGTTGCTGCTGGCCCGCCGGCTGGCTCTGGGTGTCCGCATCATGTCTGATGGCGACAGGTAGCGCTTGCACTTGCTCCTGAGGAGCGCCCCTCCGCCTCGGTGGCTGATACTCCGAGCCCTGGCTTAAAATGCTAAAGATCTTGCCGTTGTGTGACCACTGTAGCGTCTGCCGCAGAGCCGCTCTTTGGTTATGTTCTTGCTGCGTTGTCGGATTCTTTTGAGACTGGGCAGCTTGCAGGATGAAAACTAATAAATAGACGCAAGCATATGCGTAAAATGGCACGTCAAATATGCGTAATCCCATTATCAACTCAGTTAAAGGAGATTTAATGTGGCAAAGCAAATATTCAAATGAGCAGGGTTTGCCACTTGTCTCTCACTTAAAAATCCTTCATTTCTATTCAAAGAGCATCCAGTGAGCAGAGGAGCTAAGTTTCAGCGTGTCGGTGTAAACGCATATCGTTCTGATGTGCAGCTTGCAGATGCGCCCTGTGCGATGGTGATGAGGAGGAGGAGCACTCCAGCACTTGGAGTTTCTTTAGTCGTTTACAGAAGTCTGCTGCTGCTGCTCATATAACCACTGGATACGTGATGTCTGATCATGACGGGCCAAATGGATCTGGAAGGCGGTTAATGTGTTTTAGTGACAAGCAGTGCAGCTTTTTTCCATCACAAATAACACATTTTCCTGGCCCGTTGATAAGAAACGGTCAGACACTGTAACATAACAGATGCAAACATTCCTGTCAATTCCTTCTAATTTATGACAGCATATGGGTGATATGTCACATTTTCTAGGAACCATATAGTGTCTTTTTTCTTTCTTTCTTTGCCAGATGAACAAACTTTCATGATAGCCTTTTCCCTGACTGTTGGATGAACTCCAGACCAAATTGCAACATATTCTACCAGAAGTCATTACACTCATCCACTTTCTCATAGGAGGATCTCAGAAACCTAAACATGACTTTTTGATGGCCCTGCAACATTTTCAGTATTTTTCTGGGAAACCAACTCCCGCAAACCTCCTCCACCGGAGGCACGCCTCAGTTCTGTCTGCTGGAGCTTTTCTGAAAACGTGCAAGACTCATCACATGCATCTCACAATAATCTTCTCTTAGGTCATAATTAGTCTACTCTGAGAAATAAACAAAATGAGGCTGTGGTGATATTTGATATCTGTATTACCGGTGACCCCAAGTTCCTCTCCTGATGCGTCTAAATCATTTGCTGCAGCCCACTCAAACCACTGCCCTGCTCTTAACACCAGAGGTATAATGCATAGCTTGGGAAACCTTTATCAAGGTTTTCATCCACCTCTGTCTAGCAAATCATAAAATTCTTTCCAGTATCTACACAACTGATGATGACTGCTGATAAACCACAACAAACAGATTTAACAGTTTCCCAAATCACAAAGTTTTGTGAGAGTGAACTGTATCAGATTTCTTTCAACACGGATTAGCCAGCGACAATTTATGATTACATTCCCAAGAGTTCAATGATTTTAAAAGACATCTTGATACAAAAATGGACCTAAAGAAACATGGAAAATAAAGTAAGGCAGCACAGGCTTTCCCTAACATGAAAAGACTCAACCTCACAACACAGATACACCATAATAAATACAGAACCAAACAAAAGAAGTGTCATATTTCAAATACAGTGTCCAGTATTCTGACACTAGGGGGCAGATTATTGTAAATGGGAGTGCAGCATGTCATTCTCTTATCAGTACCTAGGGGAGTTGTTTATCAGATGTTGGATTACACTCTTGTCTTAGCCAAACTCCACACTTGTAATTGTTTCTTCAGAGTTTTTGTCTTTGATATGAGCTTGTGTCTACAACCAGATACTGGAAAAACATTAATGGTGTTAAAACCTGAACTAGTTGCTGGTAGCACCTACAAGACACTGTACAAATCACATGGAGTTAAGCAGCTCTTATTATCTCTGTCTAAGAGCACCAAGTATGCTTGATTCACAGTCACACATTTATACCTGGAAGCTGCCCAATACGAACACAAACAGATCTTTGTCACTGAGCAGATCCACTGGAGTAGCTGGGGATGAAGCGCCTTGCTCAAGGTCACCTCTGTGGTGGTAACGAATTACATTTAAGCTCTGCTTTTTATTTTCACTGCTCAAATTGATGCAGTCAGTGCTGTGGCTGAACTGGTGACAGTTTGGTCACGATCCCACATGTGCATCCTTGTAGCAATAAACAAACAAAACAGGACCTACTCATAAGAACACTGCTCCATAGTGCTACTAGTGGTCAAAAACACCACAGGACACTTCTAACTTTGAGTGTTGCCTGCTTATTTTAATATGAAAATGTAATGTTAAAGAGATATACTTCAGTGATTGCACCAAATTTTCAGGGTCTTTAAAAGTACAATGTGCTAAATATTTATTAGAGAAAGACATCAAGACAAAAGCAGACTAAAATAACTTTACAGTCTAAGACTGTCTTAAACAGATTATATCCTGCTGTAAATTACAGTTCAGTTAGTTGCATTGTTCTTGGTAAATGGCAGGCATACATCTTTTCACAGTCACCTCTCAGCTTGTGTAAGCTGTGGGAGTGAATCAACACTAAGTGGAGTTCTGTGAGCTCCTGAAAATGTTAAAGGTTTGACACAGACAATGGATGAAGATGCCAGTGACTCATTAATCCAAATGAACTAGAAGAGTGATTTGTGAAACTGAGACTAATCAGGATTTTTTAAGAAAACTGAATAAAACATTTATTAGTGACATAAAACTCTTTCCAAACTGAATCACAGCATTGCCAGAAATGAATCTGAATGCTCTTTTGTCAAGTTTTCCTATTATGTCTTCAGCGATGCCCTCTAGCTGTTTTATTTCCATTCAAATATGTAGGATTTGTTTCCAGTTAAACAAATCAAACCGCTTTGGAAGCACTGTTTTTGGGCCAATATGTGACAGTGTTTTTGCTTAGACGATGAGTAATGTACGGTCTTGTAGCTCTGCATACCAACACTTTCCCCAGAGACTAGAAACTATGTGCACATGTTCCTAGGTTGCCTGCTCTCCCTTCCCTGGAACACCAGATAGTCAGAACCAGCTGTACTCATCACTGGTGTTTTGTTTTTTTTTATAATTCATTGACTTTCTTCATGCAGAGTCCTTTCCTCTAACAAGGGCAGCACAGTGTTCACGCACACAGCTCAGAAACACATCTGCAAGGAATTAGACAAGTTCTTTGGTCCACGTTGCTGGAATTCAACTCCATTTCTGATTTATTTATTTATTTATTCTTTTTTTCTTTTTGGGCACTCAGTTGAGCTAAAGGAATTTGAATAAACCCACATCTGAGCTGCAGAATAGGGAGAAAAACTGTGACAAGTCCTCCTGCATAAGACACGTCACTGAGAAGTGGGGGGGGCTGGATATCCATCCCTTCATGATGCTAAATCTACCATAAAACCAAATATGCTAGTGTCCTTTTGATGTGGAGCCTATATTTAAGCATTTACAGCTGATTACCAACAAAAAAGGAGAATTATCATTATAATATAAAATCAACTTTAAATCTGTTTAAAAAATCCAGCGTCTGAAGTGCCAGCATGACAATGAGCATTATGTGCCTATTTGGATGTAATTATTTTTCTTCATGCCATCATTATGACCTCATCTCAGTGATGAAGGACCACACACATCTCTCCAATTAGCCACAAGCTCTATCCCATAACGTGTCTGCTTCTCTTAGTCTCCCTTTTTACACTCTCAGATTTATACTCTTACATTTTCCTTCCACCCATTTGCAAAGCTCAGCCTATTGAAATAAGCTCAAAACTCAACGACAGAAACAGACAATTCAAATATTTTCTCCTCTTTCATAAATACTGGGTTTCCATTACTCTTGGAGCTCCAAGTTGAGGCTTGCACCACACACACACAGACACACACACGCACATGCACACAGTCTGGTGGACTACGTGGCAATCTGCACATACACTGTATCCTCTGCAACCGGGAGGAGGAGCGCTTTATCAAGACACAACCCAGAAAACTTTACATTGTGCAGTGATTTATGCACATGTACTTTTTCACCATCAGAGTTTGTTCTGTCCCACAACCACAGGGATGTATGAATGAAATCTATTTAACCAGTGAGAAAGAGATTTAATTGCTCTTCAGTGAGTTGTGAAATAGTATTCATTATTTTTAGTGACTTTTATGTCTCAATCTCCTTGGTTGAACTCCTCTTTTCTTTTTTATTTCAAGCCATTCTCACGGAAAAATATATAATAGCTACATTATTCTGCAGTGCAAAATGTACTAGTCCCACAGGAGCACCTCCAAAATTGTGACATTACAGTGCTTTTCTGCAAAAATAAAAGACAATGGCTGAAATTCCTTATACGTG